GGTTACATGAACTTTAATATGGGCAGTGGTAATGGAAATACAAATAGCTAGTAGAGCTACACAACTAAAAAGAAGAGATAAAAACTTTGGAATTTAAGATATTAGAAGAATACAAGTCCATATTGATAACAGAAATACTGGGAAATTTCACAAAGACATTGTAAGAAAACCCAAGGCCACATATATATTCATGGCACATGATAAAATATGCCTCAAATGCACTGATCCATAGCTTTTTCTATATGTGAATAATATAGAATAAAGAAAGTTGCCATACGAATACATAACTAACCAAAACTCTGTCAAGCAGGCATGACACGGTCAAAAATTTTACCAAGCACAAAATAGAACAGACAACGGACATGGAAAGAAACCTAATAAAGGAGTAAAATTTCCATTTGTGCTGAGGTGATCTCGAATGATTTGCCGTGCTGACTTAATGATAATCTCTTTCCAATATGAAAACCTCTATTCCTCGAGAATTGCATTCCCTCAACTATTTCCATATTTCTGTTGCTGTTTTATTCATATCTGCACCAGACATGCTACCAATAACAATCACTGAGTTAAGGATACTGTCTAATTGGGAAAAGAAAATCTATTCCTTGAGAATTTTCCATTCCTTCAACTTCTCACGCAATTCCATAGCTGCTTCATTCATACCTGCACCAGCTATCCCTGCAACTATATTGGAATATACGGTTGACTTAAGCTTGTGGCAACTTGATATCATCATTTTCAGCACTTGTTTTGCAGAGTCCAGTTTACCATTTTGGCATGATCTGTGAATAATAAACCTGTAACAATTATCTCTGACCCTGTGTCTGCTATTACCCATCTCTTTTAGTAACTCCACAGCTTCTTCAATAAGATCAGCTCGACAGAATCCCCAAATTAGACATCTATATGTAACATCATCAGGACAAGTCCCATGCTTTTCCATTTGATGGTATAAATCCATAGCCTTCTCCATAAAACCAAGCTTCGCCAGGCCATCAATGACTATGTTGTAAGTGATTATACTAGGAGAACAACTGCTATCACCTAAACAATGAACAATTTGGATGGCCTCGTCCACCATTGCCTCCTTACAAAGAGCACGTAGAAGTGTATTATATGTGATTATGTCAGGTGTACAGTTTTCAGAGACCATCTGAGTGAAAAAGTCAATTGCACGATCCAGAAGCCCATGCTTGCACAAACAATTGATTAAAATATTGTAAGTCACAACACTAGGAGGATGTGAACTTTCATTCATAATGGAAAGAATCTCATCTACTCCGTCCCAACATGCATAGGTAGAAAAGGAATGGAGAAGAGTATTGTAAGTCACAGCATTAGGATCAAGGCCATGCGATAGAAGATTATAGATTAGTAAAGCTGAATCTTCAAAGTTCCCTTGCTTACAAGAAAAATTTACCATGGAATTGTAGGTCACGAGATCTGGAGAACATCCCTCAACTGCCAAGTCCTCCATTACCTCAAGGGCACGTATAACACCACAATGTTTGCAGACTAATTCAACAAGAATTGTACTGGTGATCTGATAAGGAGGACATCCTTTTCTTAACCGATCCTTCCAAAACTGTATTCCTAGATCATATTTACTACGGTCAAACATCGCACGCAGTATAGTATTATAAGTGATAACATCGGGAAGGCAACCACTCAAGCTCATGTAGTCCAAGAAATCAATGGCAGAGTTCAAAAGCCCTTTTCTACAGAGACCACTGATTAACATATTATATGTGATAATATCTGGAGCCCCACCAGACATAACCATGATTTGTAGAACATTCACTGCTTTGTCTGTCTGTCCAACATTGACGAGGCCCCTAATCAAGTTTATGCAGGAAGGAAAGTCTGGAATTTGGTATCGACGAGTCATCAGGTCAACTAATTTTGATGCTTCAAGCAATTTTCCGTGACTGCAAAAACTTCTAAGGATTTTGTTGTTAGTTGTCTCATCATTTTCAACCAATGGTCCATCTAAAGTCAACCTTAAGGAACTAGAAAGTTTCTTTAACTGTTGCTCATTTGATCTCTTCTCAACATCTCTATTTAAGCTCCCATTAGTACCCTCTTTAACTTTATCAAGGCAGACACTTCCCTGCTTGTTACAGGATAATATGGAACCAGTTTTTCCGGAACCAAGAACTCCATGCCATTGCAGAGAAGATTGACTACTAAAATTACCCCTGAATGAATGTCTTAACAGAATTGCTGGAGTTTTTATTAGCAAGGATTTACTATTTCCAGTTTGGAGGTCTATTTGGCCGGAGCTTGAGTTCTGTATATGTAGGGTCGGAGTTCCAATCATCAGTTTCGGGACAAGTGTAGCCATTGCTTTCTTCACGATAACACCAACCTTCAAGAGAAAAAGAGCATTTCTTCAGAAACTACTGTGTTATTCCTGTGAAATGGAGGTAAGTGGGATCACATTGGGATATGTGCTATACTTGAATAGCATATCTTCAAGGTGGCATGCAATCTTAGGCAAACTGGAAAAAATTGAAGCACCGCTGATCCCGGTCTTGTCAACTGAAAAAGGTAACTTCCGAATAAAAATCATTATGAGAGAACAGTAAATGCAAGACAACTTTTTGGTGGGAAACTTATCATCTTTTATCTTCAACATCTTGTATCAGGAATTTTTTTTAGATACTCCATATTTAAACTTATATCTGAAAGAGAGCATTCTTTAGTAGCTAATGTTAGTCTACTCCCAGATGTATCTATAATGCCTACTATAGTACTAAGTACTTGTAACTCTTCGATGTCTAAGTCACACCGTGCTCCCTTGTAGTTTTTGGTTTTATATATACAATATCTTTTCATTATCAAAAAAACAAAAAAATCTTCTACCAAACCAGTAACTCTACACTCCAGAAAAAAGAACTTCATATTCAAATTTGACTTGATTCGAAACACTTCTCAAAAAAAGAAAAAGATTAATGAGTATCAGATGAGGAGATCCATAAGGAAATTCATCCATCACTCATAAGAGAGTCAAAATGTCATACAGTAACATCACTCAATCAACTTACATGTCAATTCCAAACTAGTTAGAGCCGGTCGGCTATACAAATCATCTTTAACCATTCAGCTCTATGTGAGGTCATATCATTCAAAATGCAAAACAGTAACATCACACACAAACCATTTGCTCACATGGAAAACACAATGGGAATGGAATCATCAATTTGTTCACTTTTTACTACAAATTAAGCTTAAATTCAACAATCTGATACCCGGAACCATAACTAAGCTTGTGAAAAAAATGATAAAAAGACCTAACCCCACAAAGTTTCATCTTTTACAACAAATTTAGCTAAAATTCAATAATCTGATATCTGAAACAATAACTAAGCTTGTGAAAAAAATGATAAAAAAAACCAACCCCACAAAGTTTCACCTTTTACAACAAATTTAGCTAAAATTCAATAATCTGATAACTAAGATTGTGAAAATATGATAACGCGACAAAGTTTCACCTTTTACTACAAATTTAGCTAAAATTCAACAGCCTAATATCCAAAACTATAACTAAACCTTGTGAAAAAATGAGGTGAAAAAAAAAAAAAAACCCAACCCCACAAAGAAACACTTAAGTAACATCAACATGTTCACCTTATACAACAAATTTTACTTGACAATTCAACAACAACAACATATCCAGTGTAATGACGGAATTTTAGCTAACAATTAAAGAGTAGTAATATTGGAAAAATGAGAAAGAACCAACCCCCACCGAGGTACGTACGTTGGTACGTGGGTGGGGAAGAACCCAACAAAGAGAAAGTATTAAGAAAGCAATCAGCCATGAACATACCTGCAGAATTTTTCGTTAAAAACAGAGCAGATGCAGTATTTGGGGGGGCAAAATTATGAATTCAAGGATTACGGGGGTTGGTTATAAAGTGAGATTGTGGGACGTTAATAACTAGGGTTGAAATTTGAAGATATTTGCATTTGACTCCTTTTTTCTAACTTAATATGTGCTTTGGTACCTTTTTTGTACAAAATTAGTTATGTTGGATTTATTTTTATTTTTTATTTATTGACCATGGTGTCTGGTCTAGCTTTCGCACACCTCAATCTGATTAATCTTATGGGATACATGTTCCCCCCAAACAAAAAGTACCAAGTACCACCAAGATGTTGGATATATTTTTATAATTTATAAATTAGTTATGTGTAATTTTAAATATTTGATGAAACATAATTTTTAATAACAAACCAAACATCGTATGCGAACGACTAGGGATGGCAATGGAGAGGTGGTGGTGGTGTGGCGAGTTGAGCTTAACTTGCAAAAATTTTAATTCACCCCGCCCCGCATAACATTTTTTTTTCATTTTCAACCCGCTCCGCATAGACCCGACCCACCCCGCATACTTTTTTTAATATTTTATTTTTCTAGTTAAGTTTGACACTAAAAATAAAATTCATAAAAATAAATTCATTTTTTCATTAAGTTGTATTAATTTAATAGGATAGTGACTTGAGATTTTATATTTTTAGAGGTCAATTGGGAAACATGTACGAAATTGAATTAATTTTTATTGAACCATTTTCATTTGCTATTTTGAATATTTTAGTAGCTTTAAAGAAATTATCTTAATAAATAATGTTATATCACTCTTATAACATGTAAAAAATTTAAATTAAATTTAAATTTAAACTCACATAAAATCACATGTACCCACCCCGCCCCGCCCTATTGCCATCCCCACGGACGACTCCTAAATGTATAAAAATGTACATATTTTTATTTCCTTCTATCTATATGACAAGTAGCACTATTAAAATAATTATGATATTCTGTTATTTATTTATTTTTGAGTCAAAGGTTTATCATAAATAACATTTTTACTTCTAAAAATAATTATAAAACTTACATATACACTCCATTTTTTCTCGAACCCCACTTGGTGTAGTTCTTGAGAATTGAGACATAAAAAAGTCCTTTTCATATTGGTGTTTCAAGTTCATTCATGAATTTTTAAGCTTAATGTATTTATACTTCATGAGCATATTAGACCAGACATGATACGATAGCAGCTTAGATGATTTATTTTGTCAAAACACGATTTTCGCAAAAATGAATGGTGTAAAATAAATCCCAAAACGGATTGCAAGGGAACCAACCACCAACTAAATTTTAAAACTAAATCATCTTTCGTACAGTAAAGTATGTTGCTGCTTGAGTCATTATCATGGTAGGTGCTCACTTGTAATATCCTTTCTTTGCTAGCGTCGGCTTCTTATGTGATTGGTTCTGCCACAAGATCCAACATCCAGAAAACGTAGTCAGTTCATATTAGTTAGTTAATGTCAACTATCAAGATGTAATATCATACACAGAGACCAATAACAATGCGAAAACCCTCACCTTGTGTGTTTCTGAGCTTCATTGTCATTCCTCTCTTGCCAATTACTCTTGCATAGTTTAATCGGGCGATTTCCAACATACTTCCCTGAAAACAGCACGAATTACCACCTCATTAGGCATCTGGGAACAACATTACACCAATTCAATAGCTAAAACTACTGCCATTTAAGACATTCATGTACTCCCCTCACTCCACAAGAAATCACACTTCTGAAATTCTCTCATACAAGTTTGGTTGATGTTGTTGTTTTCCTTACTGATTTGTTCTTTACCTAGACTGATTTTAAAAGCAGTTCTAAAATGTTGTTTTCAGTACATAGTTCTGTTATTTGTTTCTTTCACTATTCCTTCATCATCGTGGAGAGACGAAAGGGAAGGGGGAGGGAGGGATTACACATTCAAATACAAAACCCAGTGGCATAATAGAGGGAACTCTTTATATCAACAAAGGACATCAATCCAAATGGCATATCAAGGAAACTGTTAGATCGAAATCTACACTATCATCCATATCATTTATGATTGGTGGTCCTTCAAGAAGGTAAAAGCTGATCACATAACTGTGACACACCCACTATATCAAGTTGTCATTTAATAGCTCAAGCAAAATAAGAGACTACGCATATATTGATTAACAGATAACTTACCATTCATTCCTTTAAGTGCCGCAGCAAAGTCTAATGGGCTGGAAAAACTTACAAATCCAAATCCTTTGGTCTTACCAGTCCGCTTGTCTCTCAGAACCTGTCAACATGAATAGTAAAAACTCTTTGTTACTGAACCTTGTAAGCTAAAAACATACAATTACACAATAAAGTTCGAAGACAGCAAGGCGAATATAAAATACTTCTTAATTTCTTTCTGATCTTTTTTGTCAGGTCAAGGCAGAAAGAATCAAATAAGTAATACCCCCAATCCTGTATATGTATGAAGAAATCCACTAAATATCTATATATATTTAACTGTGAACCTCAGTTATTATTGTATACTGTTAATTTGAGGTTGTCGTAGGAATGTGTAAACATCAAATCCCAGATCCTCCTCAGACTATCAACAGTTGTTGGTGCATTTAGAAGGATTTCTAGCTTTCTGAAGATTCAAGAATGTTTAGGATGTAGAAATACCATATTCAGAAAAAAGGGAGAGGAGGAGGAAACTTCTAGGGCACAAAAAATTCTCTGTTCATGACAAGAAATACCAGTAAAAGTATTGGAAAGGAAAATAAATGATCTAACAGAACATACCTTAGCCATGTTAAAGGATGGAAACTTTGAAAAGGCTTTTGATAAAACATCCTCATTCACCTCATTCCCAAGATCACCACAGAATAGACGATAATCATCTGCAACACCATCCAACAGTAAGTTATTCCACTATACTATGATTTTGCACCAATTTCTAACAGAAGAAGGCACACATAATGATGGGAAAACAGGTGAAAACAGCATTCATGAAAGGAAGTGACAGCAGAACCAGCAGTGAAAGATAATTGAGCAAGATAAATGATATCAGCAGTGGATACAATTACTTGCTAGACCATAACCATGAAAGTGGACCAATAAAGCATAGTATTCTAACATGTAAGATCTGATATATTACTTCAGAGAGTTTGTCTCCTACACAATTATTTACTAAATACCTCAGGGAAAAGCAGAAAAAGAAATGCATTTCGAAGAAAAGACACAAAACCCCCATAACTTAAATAACACAAATTTTTATAGTATGTTTATTTGCTATTTATCTCTAACTCCCAAGGTAGGGGTATGGTATGGGTACACTCTACCCTCCCCAGACCCCACTTGTGGGGTTACATTGGGTATATTGTTGTATTTGCTATTCATACTTCTATCACACAGATTGGTTTATTCAGCAATTAGGGCCTTCCACACACACTTGTCATAGGCTTCTAGTAGTTGATATGAATTGCAGTTCGATTGATGCCTTAAACTATCCAAGACTATAATAGGAGAGAAATTAGGCTTATAAATAAACAGATTTGAACACTACTGAGGCACAGCCAATAAACGGAAAATAAATAAATAGGAAATTAGGCTTACTCAATGGCCACTGTGCCAGGGTAGGATCTTTCCAACATTTTCCTGCTGCTTTACGAGGTACACCTCTCTTCTTGGCCTTAGCTCTATGCTCAGTTTCGCTGCTCGCAAGTGCAGCCTTCACATTTTCAAGTGCTTCAGGTGTGATTGTTTGCGCATCTCTATGGAATAACTGTTGAGCCTGTCCACAAGAACTAGGTACATTAAAAGCATGACAAAAGATAGCTTCATTTTCGAAGCAAGCTCGCTAGCTTAACATGACAAAGCTACATAGCACAAAGTCGGGGTGCAAATACTTCTATGGATATTTTCTTCTGTTCTTCTCCTAAAAGGAACCTAACAAGCTAATAACTGGCGTCATGATTTTCTTTTAATTACCGTGGTGTCTGAGCTCAACTAGTTTCACCACACACCAGGTAACTCAATCTACCAAGGCTTGACAAATGAGAAGAAATCACCTACTATTGTTACCTCTAGGATTTGAACATGAGACTTCATGACTCTGTACCCGCTTTATTGACCAGCAAGCAGTATGAATATCATGTACATATACACAAATAGAGATTTGAACGTGAGACCTCATGACTTCGGAACTACTTAATTGACTAGTAAGCAAGGGTACGAGTATCATGAACATATACACAAACAGATGCAGATATACTCTCAACAAGCAAGCACGAAACAATCTCAACAATTTCACAGGAAAGTTTCACAAAATTACCCGCCAAATTCTCAAGTTTTTTTAAAATCAAAATTAACCAGAGAAGCGAGAAAATTACATGCATAATTACATGTAAGCTATTAGTACTAACGCAAGCAAAATGTAAGGATTGAAAATCAATTGCAATTACGCCTGTTGTTAGAATACACACAAAGAAAAATTCAGATGTATAGAAAAGCTTATAACATATTTAGAATTACTTACTTGTTGAAACTGAGGTAAAGTGTAAACGCCTGGAGTAGCAGCAATTGCTGGATAGACGGAAGGATAAGGTAGCTGTACGGGCGGAGGAGCAGCACCTATGTAGGGAGGAGGAGGCTGTTGTTGGAGATGAATTTGTGCCGGAAAGTATGTGCCGTTGGAGTAGGTGTATTGCGACGACAAAGATGAAGTAGATGCCGACGACGATACGGTAGCTGCTGCGGACAACGATGAAGTAGATGCCGACGACGAGTAGGTGTATTGCGACGAAGACGATGAACGTTCCGGTGACATGGCAACACTTTTTCCTATCGCTAAATTAGGGATTATGGGTGAAGGGGAGGAGGAGGATTATATAATAACTGTTCTTAAGACTCCTATTTAAAGAAGGAGAATTTTTCATAAATAGCACTAATTATACCATATTTAACATACTTTTCATATTCATAATTAATGATATATTGTTTAGATATATTATTCGTTTTTATCAAAAAAGCAAGATAATGTAAAGTTTATTTGTGTCCGATGAAGTTAAGGAATACAATTTCTAAAATAAGAAATTTTGACTACTCTTATTAAAATGTAATCAAAAGATTTTATATGTTTATTTGATTTCTCATTAATTTAAAGTGATTGAATATTTTAAAAGATCTATAAATAAGGTTGAGATTCAATAAGGTAAAGGTAAAACAAAAAAAATAGATAGAGACCGTAAATATTTGTCAAAATAATTTGAAAAATTAAGTAATAAAAAAAATAATTATTGTACAAATACGAAAATTAGTGATTGAGTCAGACTCTTTGCTAATGGTTAACATTATTAATAGGGGTTGGAGAGTGTCATGGGAGCTAGCAGAGTATTATGATGAACTGCAACAAGCCCTTGTTGAAATTGAGTTCACGGTGCAACATATATTTAGGGAAGGCAATAAAATGGCAGATTATATGGCCAACTTAGCAGTGAACTGTAATGAAAAATAAATTTTCAGCTCGTTTCAACAACTTCCAACAATGGGAAGGAAAATCATAAATGTAGATAGGGATGTTCACGGGTTGATTTGGATCGGTTATTGGTCAAAACTAAAATTAAATCAACTTAATCGGTTTTAAAATTATCAAAATCAAACCAAACCAAATATAAAATACATTTATCGATTTGGTGATTATCGATTTCGGTTTGGTTTGGTTCGGTTATTCGGTTATTAACCATACACAAAAAATAAAAGAAGCAATTCATTAAAAATGTGAAAAAAGTGACAACAATCCATTCAAAACGAAAAATAGTTAGAATGACTTAAATTACTAAACTTTCAATCACTAAATTTACTATCAATAAAGCTTTAAAATTCACTATATTGGCCTAGAAGGAAGAGACAATAACATTTTCAGTCCCACAAAGAATTGACATAGACACTCATATACATGAAATCAATAAGATAAATGTTTCATCTTGGGCATTTTTGCTTTCAATAAGTAAATTATAAAGAAATTTTAATGAAAATATGTATAAGATCTTTAAAATTGTTTATAAAAATAATATATTAAGTATGTATATTAATAAAATATATGTATTTAATTCATCGGTTCGGTTCGGTTATTTCATCCATTTTTTCCGAATAAAACCATAATCAAACCAAATACTATCGGTTTTCAAAAACCTAAAACCAAACCAAACCAAACCCAAATAAAATCGGTTTTATTTTATCGGTTTGGTTTGATTTTTCGATTTGGATCGATTTTTATCCAAACCGCGAACACTACATTAAAAGCGCAAATTCCTTCATTAAGAGTCAGAACCAAAAGGATTCTAAAGCCATATGTATAAAGTCATCAATGGAACCAGTGCTAATCGAGAGCAAAGATGGAGAGTAGATCATGAGGAAGTTGATTATAATGTATATAGATAGGTAGCTTATAGGAAAGAGGGCTTCTCCCTTATCAGATTAGAAATAGGTCGTTTTGATTTTCATATTTGGGCTTGAGTCTAAGTTTTTTAGTCTTAATTTGTTTAGCCAATAAATAAAACGATCTATACGATCACTATTTTAAAAAAAAAATTTAGTAGTTTTATACACCTAAATATAATGGTGTAAGAGAACGGAGAGATAAAATACGGTTGAATATGACAAGGTTCGTGATAGTGACTAGTGCATATAAATTTATCTATTTAATTTTGGAAAGACACATTAAAAATTGCAGGTACTTCCACTTTTTGATGAACTTAGATTGATCATAAAATCTAATTTGAATGATCTACGATTTTAGAATTGTGCAACATATGTAAAAGATCATTTTGACAAATTTGAAAAATCAAGTCCAAAAAATAAATCTTTATAAGATACGTGTGACACTTCGAAATGTGTATTTTATTGAGGAACTAGAAGATGAACGTATTACTGTGAGTCACAAAATATCACACTTTTAGAATATATATTTTTTTTTTAAAAAGAGTAAAGTAAAAATAAGTAGATCTCTTTATGAAATGTTGAATTCAACTAATCAGACAATGTCTTCAAAGATGTTTGATAATCAAATAGATCAAGGATTTGTTCTTGATATCCAAGTAAGACTATGAGAGTTTTGAATCTTAAAATTCTTTTGAGTAATTTGAACTTCAATTACATAATAATATTAGAAAAGATATATCTTAGCGATCTTATAAGATTGAGAGTTGTGTTTTTTTTTTTTAGTAGCTGTTACAAAATTAGATGGGCCTAATTTCATGATCGAAGGTTTAACTAGTCCTAGAATAGATGAGTAAATGAAAGGTATGAAAGAGTAATTAGAATCCATGAAAAACAACAAAGTATGGAATTTAGTTGATCTTCTTCCTTTGTGTAGAGTTATTGAGAACAAATGAGTTCTCAAGTTAAACGCAAATTGAATGGATCAATAAAGAGATATAAAGCGCCATTGGTGGCAAACAAAAATTTTACTCAACAACTTGGAATAGATTATGAGGAAACTTTTTTTATCGGTTGTGAAGTTTACTTTTATTTGAGTTATTTTTGGCTATTGTTGCATGTAGGGGTGTACAAAATCGAACCGAAAACCAAACCAAACCGTAAACCGAGTCAAACCAAAAAAAAATCCGACTAGTGATTTGGTTTGACTTGATTTGGTATTGGGAAAAAAAAACCCAACTATATTTGGGTTGGTTTGGTTTCAACTTAAAAAAACCAACCCGAGACCAAACCAACCCGACATTATATATATAATTTTAAAATTTTATTTTATATGTAAAAATATTTACTTTGATATATTTTTTAAATATTTCTTATACTTTTTCATAGTTTTTATCTTTTAATATGTTATTTCATGTTTGAAAGTTAGAATTCTTAATGATCCAATAAAGATTATAGTCCATAGATGTTGGTAATTATAATAAAGCTTAAATCAAAATCAAATTAATACTAATGCAAAAAGAAAATCAATTCAACACTAAGAATGACAATAATATTGAATATTTGTTCTTTAGTTTTACATATGTTTAGGCAATTAAAATACATAATCTAATTTTAATTT